CGCAGTTGGCTTATCATCCCAGCAAAGCAGCAAGAAAGGATCGTCCTTTCTACCATAAGTTAAGAAAATAGTACTGAAAGATTGAGGACCGTCCTGATTAGCTTGTAGCCGCCTTTGATACCGCAGCAGTTGATACCAATCCTGTGAGGCCGGGCAGTAAGCAGTAGGAGGTAGCAGATACGTACTGTTCCCAGACTCCACTGCACGATTGAGATACAAGAAGGTCCCCAGTCCTGAGGAGAGCTGGCCCAAAGGGCCCAGCAGAGAACTCTGCTGGCCTCCTGTCTGACTGACAGGAACAAGTCCTTGGTTGGTGCTACTGGAGGTTGTGGAACACTCCTGAGGAACGACAAGGCTCCCTGAACTGCCTGACTACCGCTGAACCTGAGGAAGGGATTCAGCGAGATTCCCAGTCCACTATTCAGTACGGGAACTGAGTAACTTCTAGAAACTTGTTGGATTAACAGAACGCATAGGTTTCAGGCAGTTTTAAGGGAAGGAGAGTCTCCAGGCTGACAAGGAGCTCTCCGCATTACAACAATCAGTGCTACAGATTACAGTTACAGTTGGTTTCATTGGATTTGACAACAGGATTTCAAGGCTCCTTTTGAAGTCCTAAGTCAACAACCTTCTGGTCAATTCTGATACTTCCAACCTTCACCAAGAGCGACAAGCACCTTCAGCTTGACCATCTACCTTCTACAAGATCAACACAAAGCCCATTGCCTTCAAAAAGACCTACATTCTCAACCTCATTGACACGACGCCATTGACTCGAGAGGTAGCTTCCTGACGACGGGCAAGCTGCTACCGGTAGCACACAAAGTTCGCAAAAGCAGTCAATTCACTCGAAAGAAGAAGAACTGGTCCCGTGAACGTACACCTGGAGTGCGGAGTGAACAGGAGACTTATTGATTTCGCACCTATCTTGGCAATCGAACAAAGCTTTTACGTTACGTGGAATTTGTGGTGACGGGCTTATCGCTTTTCATTCACCTGATCGATTCCGCGGAACTATTGGATTTATCCAGCGTCGACAGGCATATCTCTTTCCAATCGCCAGGTGTCACGATTTTCCGTTGTCACGAGTTTCCGTCCTGTACTGTTTAAGCGATTTCACGGAACGTTGAAGAAGATCTCACGGAAGCCGTTCAGCCAATCAGATCGTCTGTGCAGTTTCGGTACTTATACGACGTGCTCTGAGTCAGGTTTGCACGACCGTACCGATCTGAGTGCTTCCTGTACCGGTCCTGACTTAACGACAACAGTTCCCCGTACCGAAAGCGAGGCTCGAGCCTGCCGGTAAAACTGGAGCGACTCACCAATTTAAGGTGTTTACCACCGTCGAGTTCATTGAAATTGCCGTTGAAATTCGTTGGATCTTCGTACGGAGCCACCTTTCACGAAGAGAGTAATCTCGAGGAGCTCTCGAGGCAACCAAGAGGTCAATTCGCTTGACTGAAAGTGTTACCGCTGGATCCGCCATCGTTTGTTTAGTCAGTGGGTAGCTCACCTTGGATTCTGGAAGCTTTTGTGGGGAGATTCATTGGACCCAAGTTGACTGGCTCCACAGTGGCAAATCACCAAATCCCAATAGCCAATTCCCAGCACCACTTCCAGGCTAATTCAGGAAGCAGGTTCCAGATACTGTACCTGGTCTACCTTATTCAACTACACCTAGATTGAATTTCCTAGACCCCTGGCCAAGGTTCCTGGAGGTCATCTTTGTGGATTCCAGATTACAGTTGAGCCAGCCTTTATTGCACTGCAACAAGAGCTGAGATCCAGTGTTGCCACCAAGTACAGCCTACACCTCTTCTTTGTCAGCAAACAAGAGGCACCATGTCTTTCTATGGTTTCTACAGCGATGTGAGTGACCCTTATGCACCTGGCTACTCCGAACGTTGGTGGCACCGCGCCTACCCTAGGCCCCAAGTCCAAAGTAGCTACACCGCCTGTGCCCGCCCCACACACCACGATGGAGCTGGCAACGGCAACCTAGCCTACCGCCACCGGCATCGGGACACACAGCCACCAGTGTCACCACCAGATGAATACAAATCCGTCTTTGACATTCTAGAGAAGACACCGGCACCACCTGTGTCAACAGTGTTCCCACCAGACGCACGATACAAATCACCCTTCGACATCCTTGAGAAGAGGTCGGCACCAATGGCCCATGGTAGGACCAACCACCAGCTGGGTGATGGGGAGATTTCAGAGCTGAGCCCCAGTTGTCACTCAGACCTCATCTATAACCCAGCCATGGAAGACATGCTGATTCCGCTTTCAACATGCAACAGGCCACCGTTGCTCGACAACTCGACCTCATGAGAGCTGATCACGAATCATCCAAGCAAGACATAAGAGCTGACCACGAAACCTTCAAACGAAAGATGGAAGCTCAGTTCATCGCCTTGAAGGACCAACTGGCAGCTCAACTGGAGGCCTTGGTCGTGGTAGCTGCTAGGCCACCTGTCACAGCACCTGCACCTGCCTTGACACGATCAGTTCATGGGGAGACCAGCGCTATCGGTACCCAACAGCTCCACAGCCCAAAGAAGCCGCAGCGCCACAGGGCTACTCGTTCCAAGCACGAGGCCACTGCCATCCAGCAACGATTGACTTATGCCCTCTTGGCCACCAACCAGCTGCCCACCAATGGAGCCACGGCTCCATACTCCCAAGCTAGCTTGTGGCGAGTTGCCTGTCACACGACCCCTGCGTGTTCCAGCTACGAGCCACCAGATGCCCAGTGCCACACCCTTGAATCCCCTCGCTGGTGCCCATCTATCGTTGGATGATGGGGAGATCATCGAGCTTGCCAGCCCTAGTAGTCATCCAACCTCTGGGGAGATCATGATGGCAAACCTCCTAGCCAGTAAGCAACTAGCTTCCAGAGCTGGCGCCAACAACGTTCCAGTTGCACAACCAAACAGACCAAGTGTGGCTCCCACCCAGCCAGCCCTCCAGCCAAGAGCATATGAAGGCAGACCCACCACTGGGTGACCCCCAAAGCAACCTGCTCCAAGGCACAGAGCACACAAGGGGTTCCCACCACCAACCAACATCTGGAGGGAGACCTAGTGGTCCATCACTCACAGTGACACCCAAGTTTCCCAGCCTGGTTCCCACAAAACCACCAACCTATGGCACAGCCAATGCCACAAGACTCGGACCCAATGAGGTGCCGTTGTCTTTGGATAGGACCAGCCTTGGTCCAACCATCACCAGTCCATTGCCAGGAGGCCCACCAAGCAGATACCCTCTGCTCTTGGTGGAATCCATGGGAAGCAACCACAGCAAGCACCTTTGACCAAGGCAGCTTTGGTGTCTCCTACCCATGAGCTGACTGCCAGGGTGTCTCCTTCCCAGGAGCTGACTGCCACGGTGCTTCCAACCCCGAAGCTGGCTGCCATGGCCACAGTGCATGGCAATGAACAAATCCCGGTGACGCCGTTGGATGTTCCCTAGGGCGATCGATTCACGTTTCTGATCGATCGAGCCCAAAGCCTATAGTCAAGGAACATGGCCGCGGGGCAAGAAGGCCGCCCCAATGAGAGCTTGCCACCGCTGAATTCGGCCTGTGGCAAAGCCACGAATATTTGGCTACATATATGCCGAAAACAAAAACAAACATCTATGATAGCAACCAGCACCGCCCGCACCTACCGAGTCTGGTCTTGCTGATGAAGCATGCAATCCATTTGCGCCTACCTTTGTCCAGCAACCGACCAACCATGCAAGTCCCTCAACTTGTGAGATCTCCAATCTCAAATTGTGTTCCACTAGCAGACGATGCCGAGTGGCCCATCAATGTTCCGTTCATGGGGAAAGTTTTGAGATAGGTTAGTTAGTAAACTATCGTATAGTCGGGCATTCCATGAGAGCGGGATTCCATACGCACTCCGTGCAGGGAGGCGATTAAAGTCTAGGAGCGGAGAGCCATCTGGAATCCCGTCAGAGAAAGCTCCAACAGCCTATGGCTGGCCTACAACTCCAGCATCCGCAGTTGGCTTATCTCCCAGCAAAGCAGCAAGAAAGGATCGTCCTTTCTACAATAGTTAAGAAAATAGTACGAAAGATTGAGACGGATCCTGATTAGCTTGTAACCCCTTTGATACCGCAGCAGTTGATACACATCCTGTTGAGGCCGGGCAGAAGCAGGAGTAGGTAGCAGATAGTACTGTTCCCAGACTGCCACGTCACGATTGAATAACGAAGGTCCCCAGCTCCTGAGGAGAGCTGGCCCAAAGGGCCCAGCAGAGAGCTCTGCTGGCCCTCCTGTCTGACTGACAGGACCAAGTCCTTGGTTTGGTGCCTACTGGAGGTGTTGGAACACTCCGGAGGCACGGCAAGGCTCCCTGAACTGCCTGACTACCGCTGTACCTGAGGAAGGGTTTCAGCGAGATCCAGTCCACTACTTCAGTACTGGAACTGAGTACTTCTAGAAACTTGTTGATACTAGCGATAGATCCGTTTGCTTCATGCACCTTCGCTCCTTTGTTGTATTCAAAAATTGCTTCCCTTGCTCGTGCGGTAGTCTTAGTCAACAGAACCTCCACAATATCACAGATGTGAAATGGCTTTTGACCATGGCCTATTCCGGCACCGGTTGCGTCTGCAACGGTATGACTTTGTATGTGAACGGTATACTCAACAAAGTCTCCTTCCTCTCCCAATGGGTCTTCGCAATCATTGGTAGGAATTGGTAGCTTCACCGTGTCAGCATCTTCCGTTTGCTTCTTCCGTTTAAGCATGATGCTATCAAACGAGTACCCCTGCATCGTGGCTTCAAGGAACATGAACTCTTCATCTGTCACATCTTCGTCGAGCTGATTGAAGAAACTAGGAAAAGGAATGTCGTCGGATCCTTCTTCTTCATCTGAATCATCATCTTGCTCTTGCACTCGGACACAGTTTGGTGGACAATATGCTTCCGTTACGGATTGCAGGTCATCGTTTGACACCTTGTGCCATGTGAAGTTGTGTGCGCAGTCTTATTGTAAGTTTTGAAGGAATCTAATGTTTTCATCGGTGAAGACGGTTGGCATGTCATCTTGTTGACGTTTCGTTTCATCATCATTGTACACTTCTCTGAGTTTATTCGTGTAGGGTTTCCGACCACTGTACCCGATAGGAACAAAATCAGATTGGGATCGAAAGGGCATGAGTAGCGACAAAGCGCTCTGGCAGTACTGTTCCATTTTGATACTGATTTGATCCTGTGGACACGTAAGCATGTTCGCTCGAAAAAGGCTTGTGTCTGGAAAATCCCACTGAGTAACCTTGATCAATTTGTTCTTATCCGATTTCACAGCACATTGACTGGGCAATCCATACGTCCCTTTCTTCTTCTTCAATTGCTTCGATGATGGATGGATGAAATGATCCGTGTTCTCGAACCGCCAGAATGTCTTTTCGCCGTTCCTCTTACGCTTCTTTTTCGCCTTTGTCATGTCCCATGCAAAGTAACCTTCATAAAATTGACGAACTGACAAGGACTCCAGGTCTGTGCTGCGACAGAGATAATGAAATGCTTGATTCTCGAAGAACAGACTTCCGTCCGACGACAGCTTTGCATCCACTGTGATTGCTTCTTTGTTCAGCAACCTCAATATGTCCTTCAGAGGGCAATATACGAACTCATGGGAGAAGTAAAAACGTTGGTGATTGCGCAACAAGAAACTAGCCATCGGTGCACCAACGATGTTCGTGGTGCAATACACGGCTCTTAGCCTTATTCGCGACTCGATCCTAGATAGGGTTTGAGTTCGACTCATGACTGAGTCTCTCGTGAATAGTCATTTGAGACAGGGTTCTCAATGACCGCGCTAGTCATACTAGGTTGATGATGAAACATCGCTCTAGATATTTAGCCAGCGTGGAGTACTTCCACGCTACTAGATCCAGGCTAGACAAACCTTCCACGCGTTCCGTTTTAGGATCGTGGAGAGACGTAGGATTACTACCACAACCTACTCTATCACACTTTATAGTCTCCCGCGGGAAGCCAGATCTACGATCCCTTGATGATGATCTCTCTCGTTGATTAGTTTTCATAGCTTTCTAATCTCTCTCATAACTTTCATTCTCTCAAACTCAAAACACTCGAAAGATCTTTACACTAGCTTTTAGCGTAGTGCATTTTGTTAACAAACACAATAGCTTTCAGCTACCCTCAACCTATTCCTTCACCATGAAGATGGCTCAAGGAAAGCATGCGTTCCGCGAGAAACAGTTGCGTGACAAACCCATTCTTCCTCTCGTCGACAATGACGAAGAAAACGAGATCGACGATACTCGTGCAACCACTTGCAAACTTCGCAACCATGTTGCCAAGTGCAAATCAGAAGACACTGATAATGAGGACAACTCCTCTATCAATTTCAATCACTTGGATGGAGAAATCTCTATCTGAGGATTAGGCCAGGATGATGACTCAACCATGTTCCGATTTCTCATATCAAAGTGATGAAGATATCTCACTAACTAGTAAACAAGAATTGTTTGCAACTGATGAACACTACGGCAAATTAGATGATTGCCTAGAAGCTGCTCAACTAGA